AAAAAACTTTCATTTGCTTTTCGAACACGTAGAAGAAGTATGCACCAACCTAGGTACAGAAATCAAAGTACCGCGATACAGCAGTCGCCAAAAGAATCACTTTAATGTGAAAACCGGAGACGCCGAGGCATACTATCGCATTGCTTTTTACATTCCCTTCCTTGATACATATATTGCTCATTAGAAAAACCGGTTCCTTAACCATAAATCAGTTTTAAATAATTTTAGTGTTTTGTTTCCAAAGTATGATTTTAAAGAAAAAAAACNAGAATATATACTCTGTAGACTAACTGAATTGAAATAAATAAATAAATAAATAACGGTATATTTCAGAAATACGAAAACTACGAGAATTCAATAACTAAAGATGCCAATTTACTTCATCTTACATCAATTCCTTAACATGAAACAAACTTAAAGATTTTTGGAAAATGGGCGTGGCACCATCGACTTATGTCTACATAAGTGTATATCGATAACTGCTTTATTGATTTCACCAAACATAGCATATTATCGAAACTGTTTTAAATCGATAAAAACAGTCTTGCTTGCTTTTGCGGGAAATTTTGCCCCTTATTCTAATTACCTTTAACGAGCAATTTTTGTGTANCGTTTCAATAGCCACACCTGAACGAAGCTTTTCATGCCTGAAAAGAATTAAAACCTACCAACGGTCTAGCATCTATGAATATTCACAAAGATATACATTTTTCAGTTGACGAAGTTCTAGAAGAATTTAAAAAAAAAACACGAAAAATTTTAAAATTCTTCGTTTCATCGATTTATAAGTATATAGATTGGCGCTTACACATATGTTAGTGTTTGGCCGAGCTTCTCCTCCGATTTGTGGCGTGCGCCTTGATGTTGTCACACAAAGCGNATATATATATATATATATATTTTTTATATGGGAGTTGAAGTCGGTTTTTTTTTGCTAAAAATTACTTGTTATAAATTGTTGTTGCTTTGCTAGCCGGCAATTACAAGTACCTCATGAAGATCTTGCAGAAGCAATGAGCTTAGCCGNGGAAGCGCGCACTGCTTACCACTACACCACAGCAAAAGTAAAAAGAAAAATTTAATGTGTTTAAAATTATCAAAATATTTTATAAATAAAGCGAAAAATTGAATATATGATTTTAAAAATTCGTGTTTGAAACTTTATTACGCACACTTTCTTCTAAAGAGCCTTTTTTCTAGACCCACATTAGTGAAATACAGTGAAACCCGCTTTAGTACCCCCCGCTTAAGTACCTAACCCGCTTAAGTAACCAACATTTTTGGGCAATGTGAATTTTTAAATGTAATCTGAAGAAAATCCCTCTCTTAAGTACCTCCTCGCTTATTTACCCAACCCGCCTAAGTACCTAAATTTTTCGTACCCCATTTACCATTTTACCTACAATTTTCCCCTGTTAAGTGCTCTTTTAAAATTCCTTAAAATATTTACCTTTACCTTTACCTTTGGCAAAAAAATTATAAAAAATCAACGGCAATTTTTAGGAACTTGAAACTTGCACATTATTGCACTAAAATTGAATGGGCTATAAAATGGTATACTCAAAAAACACTTCGGAGAAAAAACATTTTAAATTTTGGTGATTTTTTTCTTTAAGTGTTCTATAAAATTTTAAGCCTAGGTTTATATGGTATTTGTTAGGGACTAAAGTGTATTTTAATTGAAAAATCTTAAATAATGCTACGGTATTGGTTTTAAATTACACTACTACTTCATAAATGTTCATGACTTATTCAAGGATTTACATATCTATGTACCATCTATCTATCTATGTGCCATCAATGGCACGCGTGCCTTAGGTTCGCCAGCCCTGGCATATGCAGAAACTTTTTTTTTTGTATACCTGTGTTATTGAAGTATTAAGGAATTGAATAAGAAAAACATGAATATTTGCTCAGAAAATTTTTAAATTGATCCAAAGAGTGTATTTGGATTAAACGTTTTCGAATTTAAAATTGGTTAATCAGAGCTTTCATAAACTTTTAGGGTTTGCCGTTTTATAGCTCCATAAATTTTAGTACAATAAAGTACACCCTTTTTAACCCATTAACTCCTCATATTACAAGTTTGTTTACGCTTCTTTTGGAGTTAATTTGTAATGACAAGGAGGTGTTGAACATATTTAACAAAAGTGTTAATACAAGATTTTAGCAAGGTACATCAAAAAAATTTACATTTCACA